GTAAAAGCTACAAATAGTACTAGTCGAATACTCTAGGTTAATGACGAATATAGAAGCAGACTCGAGAGAATCAGCATGATCACTGAAGCGGCGACTAAGTCCTACTCTACTACTACTAGGAGAGCTGCTGGAAGCTGCTGTTTCATGACAGCTACTACTCGAGTCATTCTTTCCCGTCAGCAGCACTCATGTAGCCGTCTCATCGTCCTATTGAGTGATCCAGTTGTAAGAAAGTAGCATACCAACCGTTGTGTTGATAAGACAACAACCTCATCGTCCGCTTCCGGGTTCATCACTTTGAACCTCAGGTTCCAAACTCCAGGTTGTAAATTATAACTTGTAATCGAGTATAGAGTGATTGCTCGTCGGATGCTGCTGCTGCTGCTGGCAGCTGCTCGGATGTTGATGACAGTCCTAAGGATCAGCAGCCTACATCTCGAACAAGTTTCTATGGCATTTCCATCGCTTCCCATGCAAAACGAAATGATGATGGAATGACCTCCTCTTTCCAACCTCCTTTCATCATCACGAGACCGGAGCCCCATTCGTCTTTGATCACTTTGAAGGCCTTGAGGAGCATTACAAGAATTGAGCACCAGGTCTCTACTCAGAAGGGTTATGAGCCACCAGTACCACCATAGCCGCCGCCGCCACCGCTGATGGTGGTGGTGCTGCTCGACCACCTAACAACCAAGGCCATGGTCAAGAAGAGGCACCACCACCTCTACACCGCTACTACTACTACTACCTTGGCCATATATTAACATTGTCCTTGATATCTATTCTTAATCATCACCACCTTGAATCTCGTCATGAACTTTATACAAGCATGTTCTGTAGTAGTAGTAGTAATTGGTAGTACTACTACTACTACCATGCCTATTATCATCTACTCTTCATCGAGGGGATGTATTATACTCCCCGTCATAAGTTTGAGTTGAACGTCGAGGAATAATCCTACTATAATAAAGACGATTAGTAATAGTATAATATGGAATAGTATTACTCATTAGTAGTGATTATGATTAGTAGCACTGGAATCCTCTTACTGTGTTAGCCCTAGTAGGGCTAGTACCCTAGTACTCCTTCCATCAACTGCTTCACTTCATCATCAAAGTCGGGATTCTCCATTATTAATGACAACACTGGTATACCCTCAATATTACTAATACCATGCTTAACGAGAATACTATATTATGATGATGGTAATGATAAGAAGCAAGAAGAACAGTTAATCGATAGACCCCAGTAATGAGAGCTACTAATAAGTATTACTACTTAACATCTTATTAACCCAATGTATATATTTATGTGATTGAATAGCTTCTCGTGCTGCTTTATATAAGCGATCAAGCATAAGCATATTATTACGAGAGACAAGTTGAGGACCCAATAACTCACCACAAGCATATAAATGATGTACCTAAATGAATATGTAATATTAAGTCCATATTCAGTAGTAGTAGTAGTAACATATCTAATAATGAGTAGTATGATGATCCTATGTATGATATTACATA